CCAGCAGTGGGTGCTACCCTGTGATATGGGGTGAAGAGGTGATCTGGTGCCCCAGAGCGTTCCCCCGGCCTGTGTGTTCCAGCAGTGGGTGCTACTCTGTGATATGGGGTGAAGAGGTGATCTGGTGCCCCAGAGCATTCCCCTGACCTGTGTGTTCCAGCAGTGGGTGTTAGCCTGTGATAAGCACTGTGCACAGCTTCTTTTAGAGCCCTGAGACGTAAGGGTGCATCTTGTCCCTAAGGAGACTGGCCTGGACTATTTGATGGGCCCCTGGTTGCCTACTGAGGGGAAAAGGCACAGCACGAGGATCTGTGGCCAGAACAGCGGAGGGCACTGGGGGTGGGGGCTGCCTCTCCCTGCTGGCACCCCACCATGCAACAGCCTTCCAAGGGTCACTGGAGTGTGCCCTTCCACCCCTTTCTATGTTCTAGAATAGTCGGAGTAGAACTGTCAGATCGTCTCTGAATGTTTGGTGGAATTGTCCAGTGAAACCATCTGGGTCAGGACTTTTTTGGTGGCGGTAGCAAATTTATTGTGACCTGTTCAGTTTCTTGTTATGGATCTGTTCAAAATTTTCACCTCAGTCTGGGTTAGTTTAGGTAAGTGGTGTGTTTCTAGACATCTGTCCTAGAGGAAATCCTCTAGGTTTTCACATTCATTGGAGTGCAGTTCTTCACAGTGTCCTGATAGGACCTTTTTTTGTCTTGATTGGTTCTGTTCGGACATCGCCCCTTTCGTTTCTGATCTGCATTATCTGCGGCTGCTCCTTCTTTGCCTTGGTTAAGCATCCTAGTGGTTTGTGGATTTTATTAATCTTTTCAAAGAATCAGTTTCTAGTCTTGTTGTTTTCTTCTGTTGTCTTTCTATTTTCTGTTTCATTTATTTTCTGCTCACATCTTTATTATCTTTTTTCTTCTGGTGACTTCAGGCTTTTTTTGCTGCTCTTTTTTTAATTGTTGGAGATGTTGGGTTAAGGTATTGATTTTGGCTCTTTTTTCTTTTTTAATGTGTGTATTTATTGCTGTAAATTCGCCTCTGATCGCTACTTTCACTGTGTCCCAAAGATTCTGGTATGTTGTGGTTTCATTCTCATGTGATTCAAGGAATTTTTTAATTTCATTTCTTCTATTACCCAGTCATTTTCAAGGAGGGTGTTATTCAGTTTCCATGTGTTTACTCTTTTTTCATTTATCTTCCTATTATTAGTTTCTAATTTTACAGCACTGTGATCTGAGAAGATGCTTTGCAGTATGTGAATGTTTTTCAATTTATTGAGGCTTGCTTTGTGGCATAAAATATGGTCTATCCTGAAGAATACTGGAAAAGAATGTATTTTGTGCTGTTGTTGGATGAAGTGCTCTGAAGATGTCTATAAGGTCAAATTGGTGGATTGTATTGTTTAGTTCTTCTGAGTCCTTGTGGAGTTTCTTTCCAGTTCTATCTTTGATTGAAAGTAGCATATTAAAGATTCCCACTATGACTGTGGACTCATCTATTTATCTTTTCAATTCTGTTTAACTCTGATTTATGTATGTTGGGACTCTTTAGTTGGGTGTATAGGTATTTATTATGGTTATGTCCTCTTGTTCAATCTATACTTTAATCATTATATCATGTCCTTCATTGTCTCTTGTGGTGGTTTTTGTCTTAAAGTCTGTTTTATCAGAAATTAATATTGCCACCTGCCAAAGGGGCAGGGAGGCTACATCTTCTGACCTCTCTAACTTCACAAGAGGAAGACAGAATCACTATCAATAGCCCAAGGCCCATTACTGTGAGACCAGACATGCTTCCTCACTCCAGCCCCTTTACCAACCCTGACAGCAACCGTTCCTCCCGCAGCACCCACCACCTCTCTGCTAGGTTCGCTAGTTCACTGCAGTGGCCACACAGAACTCACAGATTATGGGCTTTAATAGGGAAGCACCAGGCTACAATTCAAGTTCAGTAACAACACTCAGTCTCAGCCAGCTGTCTCTTAGCCAACGGTCTCTCACAGTCTCTCTCCCAGCAGTACGTGTCTCTTGGTGTCTCCCTCAGCAATATGTGTCTCTTGAGTCTCTTTCCCAGCAGCGTGTGTCTCTCAGGAGCGTGTGTCTCTCAGCAGCATGTCTTTCTCAGCCAGCAGTCAGAAAGACCTCTTCTGCCTCTAGGAGGCCTCCTCTTGACCTTGGCAGAGTGCCAAACTAACCAATCATAACATCAGAATTCTAAGCACCTGAGAGAGAGAGAGAGCTTCCCTGGAACATTGCTTTGTGCCCCTGCCCAACAGAAATAACCTGGGTGGATAACATGTGCAATCAGGAGCTCTTCAGTTGCTGCTAAAGGGGCAAGGAGGCCACATCTTTTGGCCTCCTCTAACCACACACAAGGAAGACAGAATCACCATCAGTAGCCCAAGGCCTATTCCTGTGAGGCCAGACATGCTGCCTCCCTTCAGCCTTTTCACCAACCCTGACACCAACCGTTCCTCCTACAGCACTCACCACCTTTCTTCTGGGTTCGATAATTCACTGCAGTGGTCACACAAAACTCACAGATTATGGAGTTTATTAGGGAAGCAGCAGGCTACAATTCAAGTTCAGGAACAATGCTCAGTCTTTCTCAGCCAGCCGTCTCTCAGCCAACAGTCTCTCACAGTCTCTCCTCCAGCAGTGCATGTCTCTCAGTGTCTCTCTTAGCAATGTATGTCTCTTGCATCTCTTTCCCAGCAGCACGTGTCTTTCAGGAGCGTGTGTCTCTCAGGAGTGCGTTTCTCTCAGGAGTGCGTTTCTCTCAGCAGCATGTCTTTCTCAGCCAGCAATTAGAGAGAGCTCTGCCTCTCAGAGGCCTCCTTTTGAGCCTGGCACAGTGGTCAAACTAACCAATCATAACATCAGAATTCTAAGCACCTGAGAGAGAGTGATCCTCCCAGAACATTACTTGTGCCACTCCCAACAGAAACACCCCAGGTGGATGATTTTAGCAATTAGGAGCTACTCAGTTTCTCATAGCAAATTCCACCATGGAGTTTATGAAGATTTGTGGCTCGAAAAGCCATACCAGATAATTTACTATATCGCACC